ATTTTATTCCACATTTCCAGAGGTGTTCGGGGGGGAGTCTCCAGCAACTTTCAGGGGTGGGGGGATGCACCAAATCTATCCATGTAAAACAGCCATCATCTCCATTCTGCACATCTATCATCCACCACCATCCTGCTATTTGAAAGGGATAGGGTTGTATTTTTTCTGTGCTACCAAATTGTACAACAAAATCATCATCATCATAAAATGGTCTTTGGACACATAAATGTTGCCCTTATCCTTGATTTTTGTATAGATGAAGAGATTATCATGCCCCAGTGCCTGGTTTATAAACGTAATTGTTATTATTTGAAGAAAAAAACTGAGATAGTGGGGTTGCATGACTATTTCACTTGTATCTTCATACTGGGATAGTTTGGGGGGTGGGGGGTGGGGGTGGCATTTGTTCAGTAACAGAGCACATGAGTGCCAATAGTCTCGCATTCAGTTCTTCTCCATCTCCAAGCAGAGTAGTTAATCTAACAAGCTGCTGCCTGTTGATGCTGGTAATGTTGATCTAAGTTGAGCAATGGATCTGTGTCATAATAAGGATCATTATGGCAGCCTTACAACTTTTCAGGAGACCAGCAACCATCTCTTAAATTCAGCCCCCTTTATCTCAAGGTACCCAGGGGAAAAACATACTGAAAATGTGTAATCAGAAATAAATACCAACCAATATGAGCCTCTACATGAAAACTACTTGTGTGCTACTTGCCAGTTTATTACTTGCCAGTTTGGTCACAGAACAAAAAACTGTCACAAAAAGGAAAATGTATGTAATTTATTTTAGTAAATTTGGGAATCTGAGTAGATATTCTTTTTTAACTTGAATGTTGTATTGCCACATCTTGTAACTGTATTGTAGAAATCTGGAGAAAAAATATGAGTGTCAATGGGGAAAATAGACTTTCCCCCTTTGATTTGTTTGTTTTATCTTTTATAATGACATGCAGTGTTTGTGTCTGAAAGACCTCCTTTCTGCAGATTATTGTTATGTTATAAAGTTGTGTAGTTGTCTCCCACAAAACTGAAGAAATGCCTTTGGGTAGACAATTTTCAGATTCATAAAAATTCAGAAAATTTCATTTATGGAAGGATGCATTCCCCCACTGATGAGGAGTAGAAACTTTGGGAATGTTATGTCTCAAGCACTAAAAGAATCTGACTGATTTAGTAGGAGAGAGTTATGCTCTGCTGCATCTCTTTGGAGTTACACTGAATGGATCCATGGATAAGGGGAAGAGAATAGAAGGGGCACACTCAGGAAATTATATCACAACAGATGTACATATGTTATCCAGGCCTAAAGGCATTTCATATCAATTTGCTAAGCCATTTGTTATTCCAAAATTAGCATGAAATGAGCCTATAGCAAATATTACAGCTACCCTAGGGATCTCAATATAAGCAGTAGGGGTGTGCTGAAATATCGTTACTCCTTGTAGGTCACATCAAATTCATTAAATTTGTGCATGCAAATCAATATTAGAAACAGGCAGGAAAGGGGGATTTTAGAATCAAAACACTCACCATTTTTTTAAGATTCTGTAATATTTGGATTCCTCCCAAAGTCAGTTTAATTTTCAGTATAAGCATTAAGCAAAGGCCATTGCTAGTGTTTTAAATTAAGACCCTTTTGCTGGTCGCCATAAGGATGGGCAACTGGGGGCAGGACTAGCAAAGTTGGGCAGGAGACTGAGAACACAGCATTCTGGGAAATGTAGTTTTGGAAGGCAAGGCCCCCTGTAGCAGAGAATTCAAAAGGCCCTGCCCAAAACAACATTTTCCAGAAAGCAGTGCTCAGCATCAGAAAGCTTCTATGAAGGCTGCAGCAGCCAGCCATTTAGGGTGAGCCTAATAATAATAAATAAAATTATTGAATCTGCAAAGAGGACTAAAGTAAGTAAGTAATAGTATAAATCTGTACTAAGTTGAAGTCTTGTGGTTAATTATGTGTCATATAAACATACATTCGAAGGGATTGCTGTTGTGGCTTTTTTGGGAATAAATGTTTTTGTCTAAACTTTTAAAAATCCCCCTAAAATCTGTAGATGTGTGAATCTTGCTTATCTTGTGCATTGTACATAGCTTTTGTAGTTTTTTAAAAAATATTGTTTGTAAAACATTCAAAAATCCCTCCCGAAATAGTTGATATGTGTAACATTCTGAAATTTTGTTGGCTAGCAGTGAAAAATGTGTGGTACAATTATAGTAAGTTTTATCGCAATAGCTCCAAAAATGTGGGAGAAATGAGCCCTGTAATTTCCCCACTTGCTCAATTACTTAACGAAAAAGTAATAAAAATGTGTTATTCTTGTTATAGTAATGACATTTTTAGTAGCTATACTTTAGAAATACTTTAGAAACAAAATGCCAGCACCCTCTAATTTTGTAATGACTTTTAAATCATTTTTTTAATCGATCGCACATGCCTAGTAAGCAGACTATTCCATGACAAGTTGCCATTGCTCTGGTGCTATTCAGCACTAGTTATACCAGCCATTGCTCAGGGATGATAGGACTTGTAGTTCTCAAACATCTAGGAGGAATATTAAGGTAGTTAAAGAGAGTGATTTATTGTGTGGTCACCACTCTCATATAAGCTCTAAATTTCCAGGTGGTATTGTGAGAAGTGTGGAAAGTCCCATCATTACTGTGAAATCCACATTAAAAATTATGACCAGGGAGGAATCATTCACAATGAATAGAGCTATTTTTGTAGCATCCTCAAAGTGACCATGGCCTGTGCTCTGTCCTTCCAGAAGTTTATAATAAACTGACTTTATAAGTGTGAAACTCAAGTTTCGTAGTCACTAAGGATGTTTCTGTAAAAAGTTTGCTATTTGGTTGAGGTCCACTGAGCACATATTCCTTTGTGGCTATTTAGCTGTATCAGCAACAGAAAGTAATTTCTCCCAATAATACATTTTATGGATGAGTGCATAGGTAGGGAATTCCCTGAAATTATGTTTCATTCTGTTGAATATAATCACCAAGAGTGCTGTCACTCTTGGTGATGTATTCGTGGTGCAGTTCTAACTAATTCAAGGAGGAATAGAAGTAACGTCTTTCAGCCTGACAGTGCTGCATTGATATTGAATTTTGCTGTTAATTTGCAATGCACGCAAATACATACAGGGAACAAAACCCAGTGCGTGACCACCGAGAGCCAGGGCACCAGACCTTAGGCTAGCTGCTAGCTGCTTCCAGCCAGTTGGGAGTGATGACAGCAAAATCAGTACTGTTTGCCATTGAAAGATCTATGATATGCTTTATTTTTGTGAGCCACACTCCTGAAAGGCCCCAGGAAATACAATCCTCTTTACAAACTACAATGTGTGCTCTCTGTATTATTTATTTGTATTGTTTTTGCCTTCCAGTCAACTCTAATGTACTTATAGTAACACTATCTTAGGGCACTTCCAGACATCGTCAAAATGCAGGACAAATAAGTGAGGTAAAAAAATGCAGTGCCTGACAAAGTCCAAACAAAGAGCTGTCAGTCCTTATTCAATGCTCCCTCAGTGTTCTGACATGTTCGTTTGCAACATATTTTAGAACTCCACAAGATGGATGGGGGACATCTGGCAGAAATTTACTTGTATTTTTTAATCGATCCTCTGAATTGTGCTGGACCTCGTAAGTACTGACATGGATATCTGAATGTGCACACAAGCAGATTTCTTGTCATTCTCTCTGCTCACTCTGCTGCTGACTTTACTTCCCCCCCCCCCCCGAACTCGATATCTCTTTGGGGTCACTTGCCTCCCATACTGCCCATACTGGTGCCCACTGCATAAATTCAAGATCTGTTTAATTTCATATACACAAGAACAAAGGAATGGCTGCAGAGAGTTCTCATGGGAATTGCTTTCCAATTGTGCTTCCATTTAGCCACATTCAGTCATGCGAACATGCACATTTTAGAGCCATAATCAGGGTTTTTTTTTAACCATTAATGCAATCCAGCACGTATTTTCGGCAAACAATTTAGTCACCCCTCTTTTTTCCAGGTTCCTTCCGCATTTTAGGGCTTGCATAGAAGGGCCCTTTATACAGATCTGCTTTATCTATTCAGACAAAATTTGCCACTGCCTGTCTCTAAGGCTGAGAGGGTATGATTTGCTTAAAGGTCATCCAGTGGGTTTCCAAGGAAACCTAATCTTCCATAGTGCTTGTCTAATGCTCCAACCAGAACAATGATGTTTCTTTTGCTTCCAAGCAGATGGAAACAAAATTGCCACTTATTTTTACAACTGCTGCATGCATTTTATAGAAATGCATATAAAGATGCAGCAGGCCACCACATCTTTATGCCAAGAGGACAGAGAAAATGAGGAGAGCATGAGGTAAGCACCTAGGCGGCCACATCCAGCCCCCAGGCCATAGCTTGTCCATGCCTGCTGTAGACCCATATAATGCAATTTCAAATTGCATTATATGGTCAGTGTAGACTCATCGAATGTAGTTGAACTGTATTGAAGTGCATTTTATGTGTCTATACAGACCATATAATGCAGTTTCAAATTGCATTATATGGCAGTGTAGATGGGGCCTAAGTAACAATGTAGAAAACTGACCATTAATAATAAGGAAGTTAATAAATTATACTGACTGGAAAACAAAATAAGTTATGAAAGAATGTGTTGGTATGCTAGATATAATTTAATTATCAGAATAATGATTTAATTTAATCACACGAACAAACCACAGCAGGAATTTCAATGGTATACAAGCTTGCTAATTGCAACATTTACACTTGCTTTAAACAGGCAAGGGTTCTTTCTCCCACTCTGGACATTCCACAGATACACTCCAATTGTCTCACTTCCAATAGACCTCTGAAGATGCCGGCCACAGATGCAGGTAAAACATCAGAAGAGAATGCTACTGGAACATGGCCATACAGCCTGAAAAACTCACAGCAACACAGCAGGCATAGTTTGTATGGTTGACATATATGTTTCTATAATATTCTCTCTCTCTCTCTCTGCTAGATTAACTATCTCTGCTGAATGTCCGATGCAGCTGGAAGATTTTCCTATGGATGCCCATGCCTGTCCATTAAAATTTGGAAGCTGTAAGTGTTTCATTTCTTTGAATAAAGTCTAAGAATAAGATGTTCATGGAATTATAGTGTTCAGTAAGAATAGCTGAATTAAACATGAAGAATTAGATACCACTCTTCATTTGCTATGCATGTTTCTAATATTCCTACACTTAGTCTATCGCAGGAGTCATAACTTTTTCTTGCTCTGGCATAATCATGCCTGAAGGATTTGATCTTTGTAATGGTTATGCAAATTGATTTGATCTGCATTTCCTGGACTTATGTGCCAATTGGAGCATTCCGATCCATTATGTGTCATACTTTTCAATATATTTCAATGGGTTGAAGAGTGCTGTTACCAATGTGTGTTATAATAATCTTTGGATTTTTAATTGGATTTTTTAAATAAAAAAGTTGATTAATTTGGGAACAGGACCAAGTTACAACCTATGGGAGACTGAAAATGAATTGATGCATGCCTCCCTTCTCAGGTTACTATTGTTGTCTCCTCCCTATACGCCCAACAGCATGATGGTTTTGCAGCTAGCAGCCGGGGGGGGGGGGGTGAAACGACCTCATCAAAAGTGAACTGAGTTAACAGTCATATTGCTAGGCACAATAAAAGACACTGAAGGGTCATGTGTACTGCCATTTGGGAGGTTTTGCTGGGACTATAAAAAGAGATTAGTAGACTGTCATTGGTATTACCAAGATTTCATCCCTTCAGCTTGCCTCTCCCTGAACCTGATCAATGTGGGAAATGGTATTTGGAGTGCATTTTATTTCATAATATGAGAGCCAGTGTGTGGCAAACTTATCCTTTAGGAGCTGAAAACAGAGCTGCTATTTGATGAGTGGCTGAGGGTATATAGCCTGAGGATTTTGCATCTGTGTGAAAATGATAATTCCATTAAGCACTAAATTGTGTTTGTACAGTTCTTACATATGTACTATTATGTAATGTTCTGAGAAATGTGTGTAGCTTTTCTGTACTGACACAGGCCTTTGTAGCATATTTACTCCAGTGAACCACAGTTTACCTCTTATTCCCAAGAACACACCTGCAAATCGGAATCCATGTTTAAAATAATCGCAATCCAGATAGAAAGGAATGAGGATGGGGTTATATTGTGCATTAATCCCTAGTCTACCCATTGTGGGACATGGTGGACTCTTTCCGACTCTTTCCGATTCATTTGTAATGATGGAACAACCTCCATAAGTTAAGTGGCTAAAATGCATAATCCCTTGAGCTGCAATAAAAGTGATGCAAACATTCTGCCAGTCTAGTCATCTCATCACCTGATCTTATTTGGTGTATGATGGGTGGCCAAAAAGAGCTTTATTTGCTTCAGAAAGCAAGGAGCAGAGGAAAGTTAAGACTGTTACTGCTAAAAAGTCATTACAACCCATATCTTCTAACTTGGATGAGAACTAGCACCTTAAAGAAGAAATTACAATTAAGACTCAAACTCCCAGTAGTTGAGAATGTGGTGACAATTTTAAAAAGACAGTGTTAGTGAAGTAACTAAAACAGTTGCTTTGTAAATTAGAATGACAGCGAGGGGGAAAAGTCAAGCTAGAAGCCTCTGACCTGTAGCTCAAAACACACTTAAATAGTGATGCCATCCCTATGAGTATAAAAGTAATTTAAGATATTTATAGTTACATCACAGGAAAGATACTACTATGCATTATCCATTATAATCATAAGATGATTATAATGCAGGAGGAAATTATAATTATTGAGGAAATTTCAAAAAGCGACATTTAGTTTTGCCATTTTATATAAGGAATTCCAGTTTATTATGCCATTATATATAATAGGGCTTGAGTATTCATGAATTTTCGTATTCAAGGAGATCCTGGAATCTAAGCCCAGCAGATACCAAGGAACTACAAAACTTCCAAAATAACTGCAATTGGAAGGGGATTGTTGGGCGGTATTTAGATCTGAAGTACAAACTAGGTGACTAGAGTAATTTTCTTACCCACTGGTATCATAACAGAAATTCTGGTTACAATAAAAATCCCAGAAGACTTTGGAAGTTTTGACAGGAAGTTCAAAAAGTTCATGGCTGTATTGCTCAAAATATTTTATTTCCTCAGTTATACTATTTTAGATATACATAGCTTGCTATGATACTTGATGTGTGTGATGTGTGTTTCTATGTTTATATGTACCTTCAAGCTACTTGTCAATTTAAGGCAACCTCCATAAATTTCAAAGGGTTTTCATAGGCAAGGAATACACAGAGGTACAACACCAGATATATTTGGATACAAATGAATGCTATCACCTTAGCTGAAACACCCACTCCATTAACTGCCGTGAATACCTCCTACATTTGTAGTTTGCTGACCTACTTAGATTTCTTTGTTAGAGAGCTCTAGTGCTCCAGTTTAGGGAAGTGCACTTGTCTGTTGGAACTGATATAAAAATGATTATTTCTGTGTTGTGTATATACACTTAATCTCTATAACACATTTGCCTATGTTTGAATCAGGGAATGGTGTAAGACTGTGTCTCTTCTATTCCAGTAGAACCCATCACACATTCGGTTTTGAGTTTATATAGGTGAGAACATGTCCAAGAGTGAGAGAGAACTTATTTTTAATAGCCCAAGTCCTTTGTGAATGTAGAAGAATACCCTTCACAAATATTCACTGTGCTGGGATAGGCTTCAAGAGGTGGGCATCTTTTACTCTGGGTGCATTTACACTGTAGGGATTTGTAGTTTGTTACTCTTTGCTAGAGAAGTCTAAAGACCTTGTAAAATTACAAATTCCTATGTTTCCATAGTATTGAACCATGGTAGTTAAAGTGGTGTCACACTGCATTAATGCTACAGTTTAGATCAGGGGTCCTTAAACTTTTTAAACAGAGGGTCAGGTCACAGTCCCTCAAACTGTTGGAGGGCTGGATTATAATTTGAACAAAAACATGAATGAATTCCTATGCACACTGCACATATCTCATTTGCAGTGCAAAAAAAACCCCACTTAAAAACAATGCAATACATAAAATGAAGAACAATTTTAACAAATATAAACTTATTAGTATTTCAATGGGAAGTGTGGGCCTGCTTTTGGCTGATGAGATAGGATTGTTGTTGTTGTTGTTGTGTGCTTTCAAGTTGTTTCAGACTTAGGTTGACCCTGAGCGAGGCCCGGGTAAATGACCTTGGAGGGCCGTTTCCAGCCCCCGGGCCTTCGTTTGAGGACTCCTGGTTTTGATGCACCATCTGTCTCCAACTTCTCTGGTCAACCTGTTAAGTGCTTTCAGTTCTGCTAAATCATGGGTTCAGGGCCCTAGAGTGTCTAGCTGCCCAGAAGGCTGAATGAGTCACAAACAGGTTTGAAGGCAAAATCATAGGCTTTATTCTTGATGGCCAGAGAGGATGTCAGTGGAGATAGCCCTCCAAAGAACTGACATCCCACAATAGGCAATACAGAGCATTTTATTCATGCTATTTTGACAGCTATTCAAGAAACCCACACCCACCCCAATTGACTGGCAAACTGTCTGGATAGGACCTGTGCCCTGAGTGGCTCAAGGTTCTGTCCAACATCGTCGCTGGTTGGCTCTTTAGAATGGTGGAAAATTTGATAAATTGCCATTGGAGCATTTGAAGTGTCTGTCTGTTTATTGATCCACCTCTGAGAAGGATATGATCAGGAAGGAGTGTGGTATGGCAATTGTTAATGAGTCTGTGATGTGCTTAATGGTTTGACTCTGGTGGGCACAATGGAGTTATGCCAGAGTTCACAATGGGTTCTTGAAGGCAGTTACCATATAAATGGATGATATGCGGGTGAGGCTGACTTGGGGCATGGGAGATGGATTGTTTCGACAGATAGCCTCAATTATATCAAGAAAATCAGGAAAAGGGTCCTAGCTGTCCTGAGGAAAGTCCGTTATGAGTTCCCATCATGTCTCCCGATTTATTGTGAAGGTATTACGGATTTTTAAATTATTGTTTCATATGGTCTGGCTAGGATTCCAGAGCCTATTCACGAAGAGATTCCTGCAGGACAAAGATGATATGTGCCCACTGTAGCTATATCTGAAAGTCTATATATTTCATATATTTTATATATGGGAATTCATAAATTTGGGGGGTTCGATTTCTCAATAAAAAACAACATCTCTTCTCTTCATCTTCTTCTCCATTTCCCTGTGAATCAGACTGAGAGACAGTGCACCATGTGATTTTGCAAATGTATTTATTTTCTTAAAAGGCTAAACCTTCCAATCTCCATCTTCAAGGAGACAAGCTTGATGCCTTTTAGTCTCCAGGCAGGGCTCTGTTCAGATGCAGACAGGGGTATTTTGAAAGCAAGTAGTGTTGTGGATTTGAGCTCATAAGGAGCTTTCAGTTTGTCAAGAAAAATCAAACGTGACAGTAACATTACTCATGTGCTCAGTGGTCCTCTAACTCTTATCAACGGTTGTATTCAGTCTGTAACCTAATAATTTGTTTCATTCTCAAAGCCCGTGGGTTATGTCTCAGTATGTACTATTCAAATATGTCTCAGTATGTACTATTTTACACATAGGAATATCATAAGTGCTAGAAGAACAAAAATTTTGAGACGGGAGGGAGGAACAGTGCTTGCTTTCTGAATTATTTTGCTGATGATAAAATATCAAGTGCATAAATCTAAATAGAATCCTTGCATGTGACGGGAAATGGCAGCCAGCTGGGTTTTCTGGATAGGTTTTTCATCAAGCAACACCCCCCTCCCCCACCAAAGCTAACATGTTCTTTTCCCTAACCCACAGCATAACAGACTTATATTAAATTAACCCCATCAGGAGTGTCTGACGTTGATGTAAAATCTATAAGACTTTTCTGCTGAGACTGCAAATGCAGTGGCATTGCTCTTTTTTGCCTTTCTCTTACTATCTGATCTCTCTCTCTCTCTTCCAACAGCCACCTACTCCTTTTTTTCTTTAAAAAAGATTTGTGGGGTTTTTCTCTTCATAACCATGCCACAATATGTGGCATGTAGATGTTTTGTAAGTA